CAAGCTTTTGGTTTTGACCCACTCCCCTGACTCTCATGCAGAAGGCGTGTTGTCTCAGCTCTCAGGCGCGAGGAGTCGTCACTGCTGGGCCGAACCCAGCAGCCGCGCAGACCGGGCGCAGACCGGGAAGACGATGCGCAGTCCATGCGCAGTCCGTCGCCTTCCGGATCAGCGCGAGGCCGATTGCATGGACCGGACATGACCGGACTCAGTGGACGGATTCCTGGGTTACAGATTTTCCAGGACCCTCTGGCGATTTCTTTTTGTTTTGGCCGTGAAGGCCGTTTCAAAAGGAAGTGGGGAAATTGTGGAGGGCCTGGGGTTTGGAGATGAGAGGCGTAGTGAGGGCATGGCAAGGGTCCCTCACCGTGTCAGCCCTGAAGTTCTTCGAACAAATAGGCACACCCAAAATGAAAAGATGCAAAAAAACTTCTAAGAGATTATTTGCGTGCGGAAGTAGCATCAAGGCTGAAGCCAGCGTCCAAGCTGGGCCTTTCGAGTGCCCGGCATGGGATCTCCCCGGTCCAACAGCGCAGCCAGCACCGTCCTGAGCGAAGCTCTGAGAAACTGAGAAACCTCCCCTGCAAAGCACTTGGAGGCCACGGCCAAGCACCAGCGGCATGGGCCTCCGACCGAAGAAAAAAACGGAAAAGAGACGCAAGGAAGAAAAGGCACTCTTCTTCTCCGTCTCTCTCCGTCTCTGCACCGGAAGCGGAGCGGAAAGCCTTCCGCGCCGCATCCTCCCCCAAACCCTGCAGCGCAGCAGCCTCCAGCGAAGTGCGAAAGCGCGAAGCCGGTGTCCCCACCCGTTCAAAGGCTCGCTATGTGCCGTTCGCGCTATGCCAGGCCATGCCGCTGCCATTCAAAGGTGCTTGAAACTCTTGGGAGCACGGCATCCTCCTCCCGATCAAGACATGGCAGACATGGCCACGTCTGGAGGTCTACTTGATCGAGCCTTCAGCAGCTGCTCAGCCACGAAGGGCATCCGCTCCTCCACAGCCCTGCTCAGCAAAACCTCTGCGAGACCCGAGCATGAGCTGGGCACCGAATTCACAAAGTCTTGGCCTCCGCTTTGCTGGTGCCCTGCAAGGAACTGAAACTGTCAAGTGCAAGGTGCGATTCCTTCCTTCGTTCAATGTTGGCCTTTAAGAACTCACAGGAGCTCTTCAAGCAACACAGAGACACACACAGACACACACAGACACACACAGAGACACAGAGAGCACCGAGAGGGCGCCTCGGCTTTGGTGAACAAGGCGCGGGCCATTTGCTCCTCCTTGGCCTTCGAAGAAGAAGCCAAGCAAAAACAAATTTCAAAACTAGAGTCTAAGAAGTTTTAAGAATCTTTTTACTTCTAAGAAGAAAGCATGCGAAGCAGAAGCTTTCTGCGGTTCTCCTGCTCCGCCGCCCGGGCAGCAGCCAAGGTCGCATGGACACCTGCTGCATCTGCTGCTTAGACGCGGCGAACGCTTACCCGACCCTAAAAGCAGAAAGCTAGGCGGCAAAGTGCAACGGCCTGCTTCGAGGAGCTTCTCCACCACCGCAGGCCTCAGCTGCAAGCTGCGGAGCTGCGGAGCTGCGGAGCTGCGCCCTGAGACCGCCCTTTTGCTTTTGAAGAGAAGTTTTCGAAGCTCCCGGCTTGCCAAGCCTGGCAGCCGCTTGCAGCGCTGCGGCTGCTTCGCTTCGGAGCCTGGAAAACTCGAAAATCCACTTCTTGGAGCTCACTTTTTCAAAACATCTTTTATGCAGCTGCAGATCTTTCTGAGGCTCCGGGCAACGTCCCGGGGCCGAGCTCTCGAGCTCCGAGGCACAGCTTCTGAGGAAAGCTCCGTTCGCTCTGAAATGAAGACTTTAAGCATCTTTACGCAAGCTTTACGGGGCTCTTCACCCACCAACTTTCACAGATCCGTACTCGCAGTCTACGATGTCTACGGTCTCATGCATGAGTTTCTCATAGGTTGTTGCCTCCACGTCGGCAGCTTCGATGCCTTGAAGCTGCCAAGCTTGGCTCTTGCAGAAAGCTTTTGCCAAGTCTGCTAAAGTCTGCCAAGGGCTCCGCCGGCGTCCACTGCTTGCGCCAGGACCTGCCCACAGGCCTTCCAGAAGGAAAAACAAGAGGGAGAAAACCAAAGGGAAACAGAAAGATAGAAACTTAGTGACTTAGTCGCTTCAACTTTGCTTTTCTGTATTTTTTCTTTGTGTTCTTGGCCTCCTGGAGCGACTCCACGGCCGAGGCGGGCACCAGCCGCAGCACCTTCATCGAAAAGAAGAGAAGAAGAGATGAGAAGAGAGTTGAAGAGAGGAGAAGGGAGTGGCAGGGAGTGGCAAAGGCTTCTGCGACCTCGACCTGAGCACTCCCCGCAGATGTTTTTAATTAAACACATCTGCAGCGATCTTGTGTTTCCAGGCATTGTAGCTTGGAATCTGTATGTTTCTTGTAAGCTTTAGTCTCTTGAACCTTCAGTCGCCAATCGCTATTTGGCACGAGGTATGACAAGCCAGTAGGCGAAAGAGCTTACCGAAGAGTGGCAGGGAGTGGCAAAGGCTTCTGCGGCCTCGACCTGAGCACTCCCCGGCCGAGCCGAGGACTCGCTGTGCAGCTGCGCCGTGCAGCGGCAGGGCAGCGCCTCTCTTCTCACTCGCTGAATCGCTTTCCCTTCCCTTCCCACGTCCTCCACCAGCTCAGAGATCTTCTCCTGCGCGAAGAGGCTGCTGGCCGGACGCCGGTAGAGCCTGGGCCCCTGGAAGACTCCCCCGGTTAGCTCTCCTTACCTCCAAGGCCACTGCTTCACGCGCAGGGCCCAAGGTTCCCGTGGCTCAGGCACACCAAGCTCCACCTCCAAGAGACGAAGACCCCAAAAGCACCATGTGCCACCGGTGGCGCCTCTGCGGTTGCACTGTGGCCAGAGACCTCCAGCCTGCAGTAGTCGCAGCAGTCGCAGTGGCAGCAGTGGCAGCCGCGACTTGTTTGAACTTCTGAGCCTGGTCTCCCTGAGTCGTGACTTGTCCGGCCGTCCATCAGGGGGAAAGAGAGCGGCAGCGGGACCCACCTCGACAGCCAGACGAAAGCCGGAAAGAGGAGGACTCAGCCACGTCCGACGTTGTGAAACCCACAGCTGAGGGCTCGGCGTAGGCCTTACATCTCAGCTCCTCCAAGGCCTCAAAGCAGTGCTATATATATATATATATTTGCAAGAGTCATTTGCAAGTGCCCTTGGCAACTGGGCCGCTCACGCAGTGATTCTGGACTCCTCCCGAGGGCAGCTGGATGTCACGCAGGGCGATGTGAAGCCGCTCCTCATCAACACAGCCATCCTCACGACTCGCCCTCGGCATCTGGACAAGTCCTCCACGCCCGGCGCCACCACGGCATGGCTGAGGTGCACGAGCCTCAGCAGTCCTGCGCCGTGTCTTGTGCTCATTTCCTGTACACTTAATGCTCTTCTTTTGCACGGTTGCACTGTTGGGAGCTCGCGTCTCCTTCCTTTTGGGGGCGCCAGGCTTCTTTGACCTCATGCAGCGAAGTGTAAAGCACACAAAGCTTAGAGCCAGAGACAAAGCAAGGCAAACAACAAAGCAAAGCTTTGGCACCTCTTCCATCAGGAGTTGTCCATAGCTCAGAGTAATGGAGATTGTCAGTTGAAATTGGGGTGAGTATGTTGCACACATCTGTCGCATGCTTCTGCAGGCTGATGAAGGGCAACGAGGAGATGCGAAGAGCTTTGAGCGTGCGCAGTCCAAAAAGCAGCTGGCAACTTCCTAAAGCCGAGCTTCCTCTTTTTCCCCTTTTGAGCTTGCTCTTTAGTCATTCTTTAGGAGGCCGCGAGCTCCAGCCTCTCATTTCTGAGGCCAGCGAGCTCCAGCGTTGCCTCTTTCCAGAAATCAATCCCCCGTGACACACCACACATCTGTTAGCTCTTCTTTAGCCCTCCGTCTTGGGGGTCTGGAGAGCTTTCAGCTCTGCTTGGAGCGTCGCTTGGAGCGCCTGGAGCTCTTTCTGAAATTTTGTCTCCAACTTCGTTTGGACCTCCGCGACCTCCGCGGCCGCGGCGGCGGACCGGGCCTTGAAGCTTTCCATCTGCTCGGCCGAGGCTTTCTTGTAGGCCTCAAAAGCCAGCAAGGAAGCCTGCTGCGCGTCGATACTCTTCTTCAACGCCTCCATTCCCCCCATGATCTCTTTTTGTGTAGCCTCCACTTTGGTCTCCAGCTTCGTCTCCAGCTTGGCTAGTTCAGCTACTTGCTTTGCCAAGGCTTGTTCTGTCGCGCTACTCTGCTCTGTCTGTGTTTTCCGGTGCTCCTCGAGCT